TGACATTCCCCACTGCCCCTGCAGAGGTGTGAGTATGTGCGGGAGATTTAAATTGGGCTGATGCAGCTGAATGATCGGTAAGCAATATTTGGTGATGCTGGGGCAGGTCGGTGGGAAGGGGAGCCGGGAAATTGGGGACCCACAGGTCCAATAGATCTTCAGGTGGGTCTGGCAGCGGAGCTGGTGGTTTCGAGATGGATGGGTAGATTCCGCTGGGCGCGCTTGGTGTAGGAACGTACGGAGGTGGACAAACTTTAGAGGAGTCAGATTTCTCCTTTATTTCTGCCAATTGTTTTTTTAGTTTTTCATTTGAGTCCTTTAGGCTAGCCATTATGGATTTATCTCTTAATTTAGAGGCCTGATCATCCCAGAGGTGCCAATAATTCATCTGGGAGGGGTGACTGGACTCTAAGACACCCTTTAAATAATTTAATTTCTCTAATTGAAAGGTACCTTGAACTGGGAATTGCAATTCTGATTCTACATAAGTATATTCATTCCACGCATGTGTGAGCTTTGCCAGCCTCCTGAGCTTAAGACCTGCTGGCAATTTCCCTGGCTGGCTATAAATTTGCAGCATTTTACCCAATGGGGTTTTTGGATCTATCTTAGATCCTTTATTCCCCATAATCCCTGTCCTATTACCTATAAGACAGTTCCAATCCGGCACTAACCTGCCTTCCTCTCAGCTTCAAGCCTGAGCTGACCCTGTTTCTGTGTCTTCCCACAGTCCCCTTTATAACAAACTTATTCAAAACCAAAAAATAAATAAAGAAATAAATAAATAAAAAAAATAAAGAAAAAGAAAAGAGAAAGACTTACAGTTGCTTGGGAAGGATGTTCTTAACGTAGGGTGGACGCTTACCGCCAGTGAAAGCAGCCGTTCAGGACAAGGAGAGAGGAACAGAACAGTGAGATTTTTAACACGGATCTCTTACCGATTTGTATGGCGCCTTTCTGTTCAGTCTCTCCGGTCCGGCTCGTCACAATCACCTGGTGTCCCGATCCATCCCACTTCTGACACCATAAATGACGGAGAATTTAATCCGAGGGTTCGGATGGGGGCCCAAAACCCCTACCAAATCAATTCCAGACACCCTTCTTAAGCAACCAGCTTTATTCAGGAATGCATTCCAGGGCAAAAACCTCCAGGATACTCAGGAGAAAAAAAAAGTTTCTGCAAAGTTTCTGCAAATGCCCAAACAAAAGGCAAGGTCTTTTGTACTTTCTTACATGGTAATTACCCCCCTTTTACTGACCACTTACAATTGCATGCATATACAGGTCATGCCCCTTTGCACCAAATTCCCTCCAATCATCATTTGTCCCCTCACTGTCATTTTGCAGGCCTTACAACAGGTTCAAACCAGTTTCACCTGTCCCCTCCTTTTGTATACCTGTGCTCAAGCACGTACCTCTTTACAAAGACCAGACTTTAACAGCAGGGGTCATATTGACAAAAGTTAAGTTTATCCTTCAGTATGTAAAATCTTGTTTAATTGATTAACCAGTTAAACGTGTTGTTTAACCAGTTAATGGATTAAAGAGGTGGATGGGCAGGGGGCTGCTCCAGCCCCATCTTCCCGTCTCCCCTCACTGGAGCAGCCACCTGCTTGTAGCAAGCTCCAGCCCCCACCGGTTAGCCTCCTGGTAAGCTTCACCCGTTAAGGCTGAGGCTTACCAGTTAACTACTTGAACATTCACATCCTTAGTGCAAGGAGCAGAGCAGACTGCCAGCCTCATACACACAGCCTTTAGGAGCTTCCTGCTGCACTGCTTTAGGGCCTGCAGGATTCAACATCACCTCATTTATAAAGCAATGCTTATTTAAAATAGTGATGTATGGAACTGACTAGTTTCATCTAATCCATCTTGACTTACTAGACACCTTTGATGCTTGTTTTCATTCATGCTGTGCTGATTTACTATTCTCTTTATCTCTGTGGCAGGTGATGTGGAACACAGCTGTCCACTTTGAATTCATCCACGATCATGCTGATTATGGCTTTAAAACATCTGACGTGAAGTTTGATTGGCGGTAAGTCTAAGATTCAGTGTTCAAGGTAGCAAAATCTTGTTTACATTTATCCTTTTAAACCACACTAAATTTTATGTAAATATTGTATTCTCTTTACCTGTAAGCAGTTCTCTCATTGCTTCCGGTGCCCATGTCTACTTAGTGTGCTATGTTCCCCGGGAGAGAAACAAGGCTTGCTTGCAGCTTGGTTCCATGTCCCTTGTAGCTAGCACTGCCAGTGCCAAACAGAATGGGGACTCAGCAAGCAAGCCCCCCTTTTTGGCTATTTGTTCTTATTAGCTGTGAGGAGAGAGCTTGAATAGTGACAGTGACTCATGTTATTGCAGAGTGATTAAAGAAAAACGTGATGCTTACGTGAGCCGCTTGAACGAGATCTATCAAAATAACTTGAACAAGGTTGGTAAATTTTGGTTCATGTATAAGTAACAAATTTAAAATTATAGCTCCTCTTCTATGCCCCTGTAAATTGTCATATTTTCCCAGAACCCATGGAAAGCTTTCTAAGTGTGTTTGGCTTTTTTGTTTGTTTTTTTAATCTTTAGTCAGTGCAGGTTCCTTTTCCAGTAGTTATAAAAACCCTTCTCCTGTGTCAAAACGCTTTTCTTTAGTTATAAGAGTGATTCCCACTTCATGAAACAGTGAAAGCCATTTTTTCTTCCTGTTCCCCCAGTCTTTATAACAGGATGATGCACACACTTCTGTGAGTTAGATGCAGCGTCTGCTTAAGTGTTTATGCTCACCCAATGCACTGAACCCAGATAATTTTGCTTAGAAGTATCTGTAGAGGGGTGGTGCTCGCGCCTTGTGGCCATAGCTTCCCCTGGCTACATAAGATGGACCTGTCAAGGCACAGAAGATTTCTTTGGCTTGTCATTGCTAACCATCATTTTCAGTACATGTCCTTTCCTTTTGGTCTCTCTTCCATCCCCAGATGTTTACCAAATGTGTGGTATTGGTGATGGCATACCTCCAGAAGATTGCCTACTAAGGGGCAGGTCCAGAGAAAAAGTCCTTTGTCATGTCTTTGTCACACTGCACTCACTCATCTGTCTGGGTCACATCATAAAAACCAGAAAGTCAACATCAGTCTCTGATTGGAAAATTGAATTCAATGGGATCTTAGTAGAGTTCAAGTTCCAGAGCAATTTTGCAGACTGGCCTTTGCACCAGACACTTTTTAAAGAGTGGTTCCTGATCACTTTTCCAAGTGGGCACCCAAAATCATCAGTCACTTTTGATAATGTAGGCCGTTGGGGAACTCTTTTCAGAAATTGAAATGCAAAATCAAAGAGCTAGCTTACTGCTTTTCTGCACTGATAATTTTGTCTTCTGCTTTAATAATTAGGAAAGGTTCATTCTTTTTCTAGCGTCTGGTTTTGTGATTTATAGACTGACAGTACAATCTAAAATGTATGTTTTGTAGGCTCACATAGAAACCATTCAGGGCCAGGCATCTTTTACAACTGAACCCGAGCCTACATTAGAGGTCAATGGTAAAAAATACACTGCTCCCCACATCCTGATTGCTACAGGTGGGCGACCATCAGTGCCCCAGGACAGTGAAATCCCTGGTAAGTCTTTGAATAATGGAATCTACATCATGGTATGCAAGTACTCCTGTAAGAACAGATTTCATTTGAGTTAAAACAGGATTTGCTGTTTTTCCAATGTAAGCAGTAGCTCCAGTGGACTTTAGCCTCTCTGGTCCTCAGTGGTCCATATAGAATGTAATTTTAAAAAGCACGCTTGTTCTCAGCATTCTGCTGTTCCCTGTCTCTTGCATATTGGCCAATGCTCCATTTGTATGTCACTGAATGGAGGATCTTCCACACCTCAGTCTTCTTAAGGAATTTTCAATAAAAGCGGAAGTGTCTAATCACAAAACAGGAAGGAACTGATGCAACATTGCAGGTCAGCACAGAAGCCGCATTTGGTAGCATGAATGTTGAACTTTGCTACCTGAGGCTTTTTTCACTTTGCATTTTGTATAGAAAGTGTTCTAGTTTGTTGTGGCTGTGTAAGTGAGAGACACTGTTCTAAACTGAACAGGCAATGCACATAGTGGCAGAGAGAGCGCATGTGCCTGTTTATGATATAGAAAGGTCTGACAGCTAAAGGTTTTTTTTGTCCTGCTTGATAGAAAAATTGGATCCTGAGTAGGACACTCCTTCTGCAGAGCCTTCCACCCTTCTCATTTGGTGGAGAGGCCATGGACTGGGCCTGAATTTACAGTAAACTTCTGATAATCCGGCACCTTTGGGACCCAGGGGGTGCTGGATTATCAAATATGCTGGACTATCGGAAGGGGGGGGCGGGAATACCACCCTAAACCCCTCATAGCCCCTCCTTCATATAGTCCGCTGTGCTCCAGGCGTCCCTGATTCAGCCGCTGCTGAAACTGACCAGCAGCTGCTGAATCGGAGACGCCTGGGGCAGAGCAGCTGGAGTGCTGCCGAGTTGGTCTGGTAGCATCGACCCTTGGCACAGCGGGACCAACCCGGCTACCCCGCCGCCGGCTTCCCCCGAGGCTTTGCAAAGCCGTGGAGGGGCTCCCCCCGAGCCTGACTGCATGACTGCATTTCTGCCCGACCTCCCAAATCTTCCCTCCAGGTTTCCCTGTTTTTTTTTTTTTTTTTTTGCATCAATTAGTTAGGACCGGCCCTGAGCATAGGAGTGGTTTTGATGTGCGAGCTACCTTGGTAAATTACACTTGTTTACTAGCGAAGACAAGCCTGTACCATTGATTGGAAATTTTGAGGGAGTAGAGGTTGCAGAATTGATTGGATTTGAGGTGGAGTGAGTGGAGTTGAGCTGACTTTTTGTGGAGTGGTTGAATTGGAGAGTGAAAATGTAAATGCAAATTAAATGTGTATAGCTTTAGGGATGTGGCTTTTTAGACATATTCTCTGTGGGCAAACTGGTGTCTGGGCAGTTCCTCCGCGTCCAATGCTTTCTTTCAATCCTAGACTCAGTTTTGCAAAGTAACAAGTGCCCTTTCACATCTACTTTTGAAGTGGGAAAATAAGCTTTAAAAACAAGTCAAATGTTTGTATGCTTGGGATTGGTTTGTGTATACAAGCTAATAATAACTAACAAGAAGAAATATAAATCCAAACTAAGCAATGTTGTGTTGAAATGCACAAAAGCTGCTAGAAAAAGCAGAGGATTTTTACTGCTTTGTGTGAAATTGTGCTTTACCTTGCAGGTGCCAGCTTGGGAATCACCAGTGATGGGTTCTTTGAACTTGAAGAATTGCCCAAGTAAGCAAACCAACAATAGTAAAATCAGTCATCCTAGGCAGCTCTCAGCATGCTGCCGAAAGCAAAGCACAGAGTACTTAATTTTCTGTACCTTGCCCCTTGTACAGTAACTTATTCCAGTGTAAAATGGGTATAAAATGCAGCCTGATCAGGAAGGTGGCTATTCACAACCCCTCTGTGTTTGGATAAATGACTATACAAGGGGCGGGACAGTGGTGATTTTGATTCATTAGCTTGAGTTTATGAAAATGCATGACCAGTGGGAGGTTTTGGGGTAGGCTTTTTTTGTTTTGGGGTTTTTTTTTTTGGTAAGTAATTGTGTTAGGACAGCATATGACTATCTGATGCTTCTTGTTTTTCATATTTTTTATTCCTGGGGGAATGCTGCTTGTTTTGTTACTCAATGAGATGAGTTGTTGAAACTCTAAGAACTCTTTTACACAGAGTAGTTTACAGAGTTACAGGTTTTCCTTCTTGGGGAAATTTGTGTTTAAACAAAACAGGTTCCTAACAAAAGTGCACTAATGGAAAAAAAGACTGAAACACATGGTGTCTGCTCAGTTCTGACATCAGATGAGGTGTTAGATAGGTGCTAGAAAGCTGTTATCTGTATAAAAAAGTATTTCCTGCTGGGCAACAGAATGACATCATCGTGTTATGAGTGTCAGCAGTGTCAACAGGCTCTTTCAGCGAAGTGAAAGCGGCCAGAGAGAGGGGGTAGGCAAACATAAGGAAGCAGAGGGCTCAGCCCCTAGTCTATGTGTATTTTAGAAATGTGCATCTGTCTTAGGGATGTGACTGTTTAACGGGTAAACTTCACCCTTAACGGATGAGGCTTACCAGTTTAAGGTTAACCAGTGGGGGCTGCTGCCTGTGGCAGGCCCGGGCACCCCACAGCCTGGGGCTGCTCCGACCAGGATACCTGGGCCCACCAGAGCTTCTCTCCGCACCAGGGGGTGGGGGCTGTTCCAGCCCAGCAGTGGGACGGGGGCACTGCTCCAGTTGGGCTGAAGTGATTTCTTTCCCACTTCCACCAGCCCACCCCCTTTAATTGATTAACCAGTTAAACAATTTGTTAACCAATTAAACAGGATTTTACATCCCTAAGTCTGAGATTCTGTTCAAGAACTTCTCCTAAATGATAAGGGCCACCAAATTTGGTAGGCAGCTTCCTCTTCTCCTAACTTAAAGCAAGGTCAGGGTTTGATTGTGCCAGGAAAATAGGAAATGGGGGAATAAACATGGAAAGGGAGGGGTTGTTCAGAGGGATGCTGAACTCACAGTTACCACTAGGGGCAGGGAGTGCAGGGGAGAGCTATACTGTACTGACAACTGCTGGCAGCTACGCCAAGAGACTGACCAGCTGGGGACGGGCCTCACCATCTTGCCTGCCACCTGACCGGGATAAGTGGGAGGGGGGCCCCTTCTGGGGAGACACTCTTGGTGCCCACGCTGTGTCCCCTGCCCTGAAGGACCGGGGCAATGCCAGCTAAGTCTTCTAATTATGTTATAAAGGTGTTACAAGGAAAGGGAGAAAAAGTTTTCTCCTTTGCTTTTGAGGACAGGACAAGAAGCAATGGGCTTAAATTGCAGCAAGGGAGGTTTAAGTTGGACATGAGGAAAAACTTCCTAACTGTCGGGGTGGTTAAACACTGGAATAAATTGCCCAGGGAGGTTGTGGAATCTCCATCACTGGAGATATTTAAGAGCAGGTTAGACAGACACCTGTCAGGGTTGATCTAGGTGGTGCTTGGTCCTGCCTTGAGTGCAGGGGACTGGACGTGATGACCTCTCAGTCCCTTTCAGTTAATCAGTTAGCCAGTTAAGCAGGATCCCAATAGGGACCATTTTAGCCCAGCTGGAGAAGTCCCCAGCCTGCGAGGCTGCCGGCACGCAGCCTGGTGTGGGGCTGCCAGCCTCCCCACACACATGAGGCTACCAGTTCCTGGCCCCATCACATGAGGCTGGCTGGAGAAGTCCTCCACCTGCAGCAAGCCGTGATGGTGAGGAGTACCATGGTCGACAGGGGTGCCCTCAGCATTCGATTTAGCAGGTCACGTAGACTTGCTAAATTGAACTCTGGAAGATCACTTGCTGGAGCGTTGATCCTCCAGTATGGCTAGACAAGCCCTGATTCATTCTCATGAGGGAAAGATAGGAAATTGGAGACTCCAGCCAGGCCATGGCATTCTGTTCTGTGTAGTGATGTCTGTGCCTTTCCTTTAGCTTTTCATAAGTGAGCCAAAAACAACTGGTATAGTAATTATCAGTACCCCATTAAAACAGAAATATAAGACAGCTCATCATGTGAGTTGGGTTTCTTGTAGCATGTAGTTTAATAAACTAGATTTACAACATATGTAGCCTGTGATCATGGGAAAGAACCTCAATATAGAACTGTGGCATGAAATTGTGCCTGGATTATAGGAGACAGCATCTCCTTTTGTTAGAATCATAGAATTATAGAGCTGGAAGAGACCTCAGGAGGTCATCAAGTCCAGCCCCTGCCCAAGGCAGGACCGATCCCAACTAATCCCTGTGCCAAAGGTCTTTTCCATTATCTCTGATTTTGCATGTGTGATCTTGCTGGTTTTCCTCAGGCACAGTGTTATTGTTGGTGCTGGATACATTGCTGTGGAGATAGCTGGAATCCTTTCCACGCTGGGTTCAAAGACATCCTTACTGATACGTTATGACAAGGTACACTAGATCATAATGCATAATATTGTTTCAGTCTCTAGTGATCTCTGTGCCAACTGAAAATATCATTGATGCTTTCTGTGCCTAATTGGCTAAAAGCATTTTAGGCCTCTGAGCCAAATGAAATCGCAAGACAGGACAATCTGCTGTTTGCTGGGCTGATCACATTAATTTAGAGAAGTTTATTTGACTTTAGTAATATACAATAAATTGTAAAGCAACATTTAGATTGCATAGTTAAAAAAATCTCAGTATCATGATCTACAAAAATTTAATTTGTCCCAGTAATAAATGGGCCATGTAGCATGTTCTGTATTTTCTGATCTAAAATGTAATACTGAGCTAGACAGAGAAGAACAGAAAAAAACCCTAATATTTTGTCTGCACTTATTACTGTTGTAGGTATCTTAAAGGTCACTTGTAAAGGATTTCTAAGCATTGCATTTGTGCTCTAAATAAGAAAAAACATGGACAAAAACCTAGACTTTTTTAATCTCCTTTACTTAAACAACAATGTCGAATCTGTTCTTCCCTGTGTTTGCTGGAGAGTTTTTTGAAATGGTCAGGAGATGTGCATTGTCAGCGTTTGAACCACAACAGAAGAGGGAGAATTGTATTTAATTCCCTAGCTTTTAAGAGATGGAGTGAATATTATAAAGGTACAGGACAAAGGTATTTGCTGTTGGCCAAGTTTCCTAATCTCTGTAACTGCCAAAGGCCTAGAGCTGGTAGAACCAATGCTGTTCTGCTGCCTTGCAGGGGCACAGGGCTGTGACATGCACAGGCATCATCATCCTGTTGTGGGCTCTCTCTCTTCTAACACAGTTGAAACTTTGGGAGAAAAGTCAAGTGTGGATATACCCACAGTGAACAAGGCTCTCTCCTGGAAAGACACCCGTAGACAGTGAATTTCATTAGCAGTGCATGTTTGGGATGACACCTTTGCTTCATCTCAGTAGAGGGCTTCTTTAAAAAGTTTAATTAATCAGTTCTTACTGATGTAGAATTATGCACAACAGGGCCACTCAGTCATACCTCTTGTTCAGCCAATCACTCAGACAAGTTTGTTTACGCTCAGTCATACCTCTTGTTCAGCCAATCACTCGGACAAGTTTGTTTACATTTGCAAGAGATAATAATGCCCTCTTCTTGTTTACAATGTTATCTGAAAGCGAGAAGAGGTGTCCACATGACACTGTTGTAGCCAACGTTGCAAGATATTTACATGCCAAACGCGCTAAAGATTCACATTCCTTCATGCTTTAACCACTATTCCAAAGGACATGCATTCATGCTGATGACTGGTTCTGCTGGGTAACAACTCAAAGCAGTGCAGACTGATGCATGTTTGTTTTTATCATATGAGTCAAGTACCACCAGCAGAAGGTTGATTTTCCTTTTTTGATGCAATTAATCAACTGCCCTAGTTATTATGGTTATCAGTATTTAGGGTTCTTTTGTCCCATCTGAGGGGTTTGGTTGATTGCCAGTGCCAACGTTTCTTTGCATTTCCTGCAATAAGACTATCCCAGTGAGCAACCTGCACTCAAGTTGCTTGAAGTACCCAAGCCCTCTACACCACCACCCAGGAGCCACCTGTGATAAGCAGTGTCCAGCTGGAGCCAACTCCAAACCCCTGCCCCAGTCATGTACCCCTCTCTACACCCCAAGCCCCTGACCTAGCCCTGATCCCCCCCAGACTCAAACTCCCTTACAGAGCCTGTACCCTGAACCCCCTCCTGCACCCCAACTCCCTGCCCCAGGCTCAGCTCAGAGTCCCCTCACACTCCAAATCCCTTAGCCCAAGACCAGAGCCTGCACCCCAACCCTCTGCCCCTGCCTAGTGAAAGGGAGGGAGGATGGGAGTTTGGAGTGAGAAGATGCACGAAGGAGGCAGGGCAAGGGTATTTGGGTTTGAGGTAGATCCTGGATTTCACGTAAATTCAGAAAGTGATCTTGTGCTTAAAAAGGCGGGAGACCTCTGCTCTAACACAATCCATAACTTCGGTTTGATTGCAAAAGGACGAGAAAAGAATAGGTGCACATGAGAGATGTACTTGAAAGTCGCATTCAGATGGGAACATAGTAAATTACATGTACTATTGATGGATTGTATGTGTTTTCATGCAGGTGCTAAGGACTTTTGATTCAATGATCAGCTCAAACTGCACCCAGGAACTGGAGAATGCTGGCATAGATGTCTGGAAGCATTCACAGGTACTGTATTATCCCCACACTGCATTGTTTAGCTCTGAGTCTCTCCTGTGAACCCATTCTTTGATCTTTATTTAATCTTTGCTTAAATGTCCTAATGTCCTCAGCACTGTTATAACATCTGATTGTGGCCATGATAAGCAATTCATATATGCATACTGTATTGCTAATTTATCACTTCTGTATCAGTGCTCTGTAAATGCCCTTTGTGGAGCTATGTTTCATTTTATGCTTGTAATTTTGTCTCTGGAATATTGTTAGGTAGGAGATGGGGCAAGAGGGATGTGCAATGATAAATCAGAGAATTGATATCCTCAGTGTGGATCTTATGACTGGTGCAGTTGTGCCTCATGCCTGTAGGTCTGGAACCTCCCTGCGCCCTGCATGTCCTCTTGCCTCTGCACCCATGGGTATATAGGGCAGCGTGGCCCCAATCTTTCAGTTCCCTCTTATATCAGTGAGTGGTAACTTAGCAGGATCCATCTGTCCCTAAAGCGGCTCCTCTAGAGGGAAAAGTCCTGCTCTTTAGCTTTTGCTGTTCTCTGTATCACACTTTCATGATTCTGCTCCATTGGTCCTGTGCTGTTCCAAAGCACCTCTTTCCTGCCTCAGGGCCAAACATTACAGCTCTAGATTCAAGCCCTAATTGTCCTGCGAAGGCTTTGTGTCCATCAGAGGTGCCCATACCAAGTGCTTGTTTCTTAATGTTGGCTTTTCTGGTCTGAGAGACAAGGTAGGTAGGGTTGTATCTTTTATTGAAGCAATTTCTGTTGATGGAAGAGACAAGCTGTTGAGCTTCATACAGCTCTATTTTAGGTCAGGTACAGGCAACTAATACTCGATTTACTGAGAGTGGTGTCAGATTCAGGGCATCTGGAGTTCACCGAGCTAGACACCCTCATCTGGAGTGCACACACAGCTTAGCAACTGGCGAGCCAGGATGTAGCCCCCTATGAGGGGCCACATGCTGTCCCCAAGACTAACATTGTTTCTGCATTGCATCCCATACTCCTCTCTGACTGCTTCCTCCTCAGAGGCTCTCTCCTGAGGTAGCCAGGAGCATTGATTCAAGTACAGTGCCTGGCACCATGCCTCCTCTTGAAGGCTGAAAGGTGGAAGAAAAAGTAGATGGCTCCCCCATAACTCTGCTTTTTGACCTAGCAGGTAACCACTACATCACTATCAGCAGAAGGGTTGGTATCTCTGTAGGATCCGTCTGTCTATTTTCTTGGATTTCTAGCAGGTAACCACTACATCACTATCAGCAGGAGGGTTGGTATCTCTGTAGGATCTGTCTGTCTATCTTCTTGGATTGTCTTGGAGCCAAAATTGGGATTCATATCCAGCATCCCAAGACTCTAGAGGCGCAGGTCTTGAGGTCATCTCCTCCTCCAGTGGGACCAAGACTCTAGAGGCGCAGGTCTTGAGGCCATCTCGTCCTCCAATGGGGTGGGGGAGAGCCACCCTAGAGTCTCCCAATCCAACACACACATCCCCTCTGCAGATACCCAGGTGGTTCTGTGGGCCGCTATAGAATTGTATCCTCTTCGGCCATTTGGCCTCCCAATTTCAGCTTCACAAACCAGACGAGGTTGCCTTGGAGAAGAACCAGGTAGTGAGATGGAGAGGAAGGGCTAAATAAGCCACCATAAGACGATCCTCCTGGACCTGTCTTTGTCATCCACTTCCCACTCCCCCTTACCAGACTAAATGGTGATTCAAAGCCCTCCTCTACCCTGTGATTTCCTGTGCAGAGTAAGAGACTGTCATGCTGGTGGCGATTCAGGAGAAGTTCCACAAGCTTTCAAATCCCCCACAACCAGGATGGTTGACCATGCCAGTCGACAAGGGTTCCCTGGAATCGGTCACCAACCAGTTTGTAGCAGAATGGGTGGATGCTACTGAGCCCCTCAGAAGGGGTTGTGTGTGTCTTCACCTCACTTCCATCTCTGCTTACCATGTTCCGGAAGACTGTGAGAAATTGGAAAATCTCGGTGCATCATGATCTGGATGCATCTCCCTGGAGGGAGATGTGTAGGGGTTGGACTGTTTGGTAGGGAGGCCTACTTCTCTGAAACCTCACAGGTGAGGATTGCAAGCTACCTGGCCTTACAGAACCAGGCAGGTATAATTCTCTCTTGGCAGTGACTGCCGGCTCCTTGACAAATTCCCAACCCAGTAGGCTTTTGTCAGTGCAGTTCTTATGGATAATGTACCAAAAGTACCATAAACTCATAAAAGTATTGAAGGAGATGTGCACTAAAGGAAACTAGGAAAAACATGAAAGTTACAGGTTCTCTAGCATAAGTCTTTTCTTGGTGGTAGGAGAAATGTCATCTTCAAAAGTATACAGAAAGGAAGCAGCATTACTCTAAACGGATACTAGGTCATGCATTTCAAAGTCCCACAGGAAACAAGAAGGGACCAGTCTGATTAACTAATCTGACCTCCTGTATGTCACAGATCATAGAACTTCTACAGAATCCTATCATGCAGGTGCTAAGGACTTTTGATTCAATGATCAGCTCAAACTGCACCCAGGAACTGGAGAATGCTGGCATAGATGTCTGGAAGCATTCACAGGTACTGTATTATCCCCACACTGCATTGTTTAGCTCTGAGTCTCTCCTGTGAACCCATTCTTTGATCTTTATTTAATCTTTGCTTAAATGTCCTAATGTCCTCAGCACTGTTATAACATCTGATTGTGGCCATGATAAGCAATTCATATATGCATACTGTATTGCTAATTTATCACTTCTGTATCAGTGCTCTGTAAATGCCCTTTGTGGAGCTATGTTTCATTTTATGCTTGTAATTTTGTCTCTGGAATATTGTTAGGTAGGAGATGGGGCAAGAGGGATGTGCAATGATAAATCAGAGAATTGATATCCTCAGTGTGGATCTTATGACTGGTGCAGTTGTGCCTCATGCCTGTAGGTCTGGAACCTCCCTGCGCCCTGCATGTCCTCTTGCCTCTGCACCCATGGGTATATAGGGCAGCGTGGCCCCAATCTTTCAGTTCCCTCTTATATCAGTGAGTGGTAACTTAGCAGGATCCATCTGTCCCTAAAGCGGCTCCTCTAGAGGGAAAAGTCCTGCTCTTTAGCTTTTGCTGTTCTCTGTATCACACTTTCATGATTCTGCTCCATTGGTCCTGTGCTGTTCCAAAGCACCTCTTTCCTGCCTCAGGGCCAAACATTACAGCTCTAGATTCAAGCCCTAATTGTCCTGCGAAGGCTTTGTGTCCATCAGAGGTGCCCATACCAAGTGCTTGTTTCTTAATGTTGGCTTTTCTGGTCTGAGAGACAAGGTAGGTAGGGTTGTATCTTTTATTGAAGCAATTTCTGTTGATGGAAGAGACAAGCTGTTGAGCTTCATACAGCTCTATTTTAGGTCAGGTACAGGCAACTAATACTCGATTTACTGAGAGTGGTGTCAGATTCAGGGCATCTGGAGTTCACCCAGCTAGACACCCTCATCTGGAGTGCACACACAGCTTAGCAACTGGCGAGCCAGGATGTAGCCCCCTATGAGGGGCCACATGCTGTCCCCAAGACTAACATTGTTTCTGCATTGTATCTCATACTCCTCTCTGACTGCTTCCTCCTCAGAGGCTCTCTCCTGAGGTAGCCAGGAGCATTGATTCAAGTACAGTGCCTGGCACCATGCCTCCTCTTGAAGGCTGAAAGGTGGAAGAAAAAGTAGATGGCTCCCCCATAACTCTGCTTTTTGACCTAGCAGGTAACCACTACATCACTATCAGCAGGAGGGTTGGTATCTCTGTAGGATCTGTCTGTCTATCTTCTTGGATTGTCTTGGAGCCAAAATTGGGATTCATATCCAGCATCCCAAGACTCTAGAGGCGCAGGTCTTGAGGCCATCTCGTCCTCCAATGGGGTGGGGGAGAGCCACCCTAGAGTCTCCCAATCCAACACGCATATCCCCTCTGCAGATACCCAGGTGGTTCTGTGGGCCGCTATAGAATTGTATCCTCTTCGGCCATTTGGCCTCCCAATTTCAGCTTCACAAACCAGACGAGGTTGCCTTGGAGAAGAACCAGGTAGTGAGATGGAGAGGAAGGGCTAAATAAGCCACCATAAGACGATCCTCCTGGACCTGTCTTTGTCATCCACTTCCCACTCCCCCTTACCAGACTAAATGGTGATTCAAAGCCCTCCTCTACCCTGTGATTTCCTGTGCAGAGTAAGAGACTGTCATGCTGGTGGCGATTCAGGAGAAGTTCCACAAGCTTTCAAATCCCCCACAACCAGGATGGTTGACCATGCCAGTCAACAAGGGTTCCCTGGAATCGGTCACCAACCAGTTTGTAGCAGAATGGGTGGATGCTACTGAGCCCCTCAGAAGGGGTTGTGTGTGTCTTCACCTCACTTCCATCTCTGCTTACCATGTTCCGGAAGACTGTGAGAAATTGGAAAATCTCGGTGCATCATGATCTGGATGCATCTCCCTGGAGGGAGATGTGTAGGGGTTGGACTGTTTGGTAGGGAGGCCTACTTCTCTGAAACCTCACAGGTGAGGATTGCAAGCTACCTGGCCTTACAGAACCAGGCAGGTATAATTCTCTCTTGGCAGTGACTGCCGGCTCCTTGACAAATTCCCAAATGATTGCAGTTGCCTGCTCAGTGGCTGCAAACATGGTTATGCAGAGACTGTCTTGGCTCCAGACTCCTGACCACTGAAAGGAAAGCCAAGCCGCCATAGACTTACTCTTCCGTGGTCCTGAGCTTTTTGATTTCAGGTTGCCTGGGGTGGAGATGTTTTTTTTGTTCTGCTCATACAATGCCTACCAAAGTGGGATTCTGGTCCACGAGTGGGGCTCTATGCACTGTGGTTCATCATAGATGCCAAGACAAGAAGGGACCAGTCTGATTAACTAGTCTGACCTGTATGTCACAGATCATAGAACTTCCACAGAATCCTAAAGCAAGTTTTTTGGGGGTGAAAAAAAAATCTAATATTGATTTTAAAAATTGCCACTGATGGAGAATCTGCCACAACCCTTGGTAAGTTCTAGTGGCTAAATACTCTCAATATGAAACATTTATGCCGTATTTCCAGTCTGATTTATGTTTTTCCAGCTTCAACTTCCAGTCGTTGAATTGTGTTTATACTTTCGTCTGTTAGACTGAAGAACACATTAATAAAAACCTTTGTTCCTTTTGTAGGTATTTATAGACTGTAACCATGTCATCCCTAACTTTCTGTTCATTAAGCTAAACAGAGTGAGCAGGAGCTCAGTCTCTAAAAGGCATGTTTTCTAACCCTCTAAACATTGTTTCTAAACCCTAACCCTGTCCAATTTATCATTCTTAAATTATGGATGCCAGACCTGGAAAATAGTGTTTCAGCAGCAATTGCAGCAATGCTAATTAGAGGTAAAGCAACCTCTCTGCTCTTTTTTGAGAGTCTCCTATTTATGCATCCGAGGATCACATTAGAACTTTTTGCTTCACTGTCACATGTGCAGCTCATGTTTAGCCAATTTATCTATGACAACCCCCAAATCTTTGTTTCAGTCACTGATTTCCCCTTTGTGTAAGTGTAGCCTACAAACACCTTGTACTCTACTCAAATACTGATGCCATGTGTGACTTGCCATGTTACCTACAAGTCTCTCTCCATTCTGTTGCAAAAGCAGAAACAGATTCTTAATTATTGGCATGCATTTGGTGTGTGTTCCAGTTAAAGAACAGGGTTTGATCTTTCATATTTATTTTATGCTGGTTTTGATCATACTGCCACGCCACAAAAGTTTCACTTTTAACCTTTTTATCTTACTCTATATTTGATTTACCAATAGGTCAAATCGGTTACAAAATCTCCTCAGGGATTGTTGGAAGTAACAGTGATATCCTCTGTACGCGGTCACAAACCCAAAGTTAGCACAATCTCGGACGTTGACTGTCTGCTGTGGGCCATTGGGCGAGAACCAAACACTGAGGGGCTTAATCTAGACAAACTGGTGAGAATTAAAGACTTTATATCCCAATAATTGTGAAAATGCACACTGCATTATTGCCTTGCATATGTGGCCTCAGTTCTCCCATGACCTCTGGAGGAACAGACTCCTGTGTGTGCATGGAATGTATGGCAGCACCACGGCCAAGATTCTAATATCTCGTATAGTACACTACACTTGAAAAGTCCTGGGCTTTCAAGAGGTTAGTATGAAAACAAGCCTACAAATGTTTAAGTATGATGGAGTTTTAATTGCATCCTCCAGCAATGACTGGAAGTCTGATTGGTAATTTGGGGCAGGTGTAACTCAGTGCCTTTGATCACCAAGTTATTCTGTGAATGGTGATGGTGCATTATAGAATGTAAAACTTTTGTCCAAACACTATTGTCCTGGTGGAACTGAAAATGATGCAACTGCTGCAAAGGATGGGAAACAAAAACATTTTTAGCAGCACAGTTACACTGGTTGGGCCTTTTTGGAACTAGGAGAAAAGTTAAGGTAAATATGGGAAACTTTTTCCCATGTTAATTTTTAAACTTCATATTGCACGTTTAAGGTTCCTCTTTAACAGGAATGCAATTCTCATTCAGAACAGGCTATGCAACTGTGAAATGCTGTTTGAAACTGTCATTTTTTTTCATAATACCTACTGTGTATATTAACATGGCTGCTGTTTCCAATATCAGGGCCTTAAATTAGATGCCAAAGGTCACATTGTAGTCGATGAGTTCCAGAACACCGGCAGGAAAGGGATCTATGCTGTTGGAGACGTATGTGGAAAAGCACTCCTGACTCCAGGTAACAGGTCTATATTGTATTTGGCTGTACAGTGACCTAGCGGATCCCATACCTGTGATAATGTACTCACCTACCTACATTTAGCTGCTAGGGGCAACATTTTCAAAAAGAGGAGCCAACAGTTAGTGAGATTTTCAAAAGTGCCTAAGTGACTTAAGAAGCACAAGCCCCCAGAGAGCCCAGTGGTGGCAGAGAGAAACAAGCAAATTAATTTGTGACACCTCCGTGCCTATTTTTTAAAAAAATTAAAACAGAAATATAAGACAGCTCATCATGTGAGTTGGGTTTCTTGTAGCATGTAGTTTAATAAACTAGATTTACAACATATGTAGCCTGTGATCATGGGAAAGAACCTCAATATAGAACTGTGGCATGAAATTGTGCCTGGATTATAGGAGACAGCATCTCCTTTTGTTAGAATCATAGAATTATAGAGCTGGAAGAGACCTCAGGAGGTCATCAAGTCCAGCCCCTGCCCAAGGCAGGACCGATCCCAACTAATCCCTGTGCCAAAGGTCTTTTCCATTATCTCTGATTTTGCATGTGTGATCTTGCTGGTTTTCCTCAGGCACAGTGTTATTGTTGGTGCTGGATACATTGCTGTGGAGATAGCTGGAATCCTTTCCACGCTGGGTTCAAAGACATCCTTACTGATACGTTATGACAAGGTACACTAGATCATAATGCATAATATTGTTTCAGTCTCTAGTGATCTCTGTGCCAACTGAAAATATCATTGATGCTTTCTGTGCCTAATTGGCTAAAAGCATTTTAGGCCTCTGAGCCAAATGAAATCGCAAGACAGGACAATCTGCTGTTTGCTGGGGCTGATCACATTAATTTAGAGAAGTTTATTTGACTTTAGTAATATACAATAAATTGTAAAGCAACATTTAGATTGCATAGTTAAAAAAATCTCAGTATCATGATCTACAAAAATTTAATTTGTCCCAGTAATAAATGGGCCATGTAGCATGTTCTGTATTTTCTGATCTAAAATGTAATACTGAGCTAGACAGAGAAGAACAGAAAAAAACCCTAATATTTTGTCTGCACTTATTACTGTTGTAGGTATCTTAAAGGTCACTTGTAAAGGATTTCTAAGAATTGCATTTGTGCCCTAAATAAGAAAAAACATGGACAAAAACCTAGACTTTTTTACCTCCTTTACTTAAACAACAATGTCGAATCTGTTCTTCCCTGTGTTTGCTGGAGAGTTTTTTGAAATGGTCAGGAGATGTGCATTGTCAGCGTTTGAACCACAACAGAAGAGGGAGAATTGTATTTAATTCCCTAGCTTTTAAGAGATGGAGTGAATATTATAAAGGTACAGGACAAAGGTATTTGCTGTTGGCCAAGTTTCCTAATCTCTGTAACTGCCAAAGGCCTAGAGCTGGTAGAACCAATGCTGTTCTGCTGCCTTGCAGGGGCACAGGGCTGTGACATGCACAGGCATCATCATCCTGTTGTGGGCTCTCTCTCTTCTAACACAGTTGAAACTTTGGGAGAAAAGTCAAGTGTGGATATACCCACAGTGAACAAGGCTCTCTCCTGGAAAGACACCCGTAGACAGAGAATCTCATTAGCAGTGCATGTTTGGGATGACACCTTTGCTTCATCTCAGTAGAGGGCTTCTTTAAAAAGTTTAATTAATCAGTTCTTACTGATGTAGAATTATGCGCAACAGGGCCACTCAGTCATACCTCTTGTTCAGCCAATCACTCGGACAAGTTTGTTTACATTTGCAAGAGATAATAATGCCCTCTTCTTGTTTACAATGTTATCTGAAAGCGAGAAGAGGTGTCCACATGACACTGTTGTAGCCAACGTTGCAAGATATTTACATGCCAAACAGTGCTAAAGATTCACATTCCTTCATGCTTTAACCACTATTCCAAAGGACATGCATTCATGCTGATGACTGGTTCTGCTGGGTAACAACTCAAAGCAGTGCAGACTGATGCATGTTTGTTTTTATCATATGAGTCAAGTACCACCAGCAGAAGGTTGATTTTCCTTTTTTGGTGCAATTAATCAACTGCCCTAGTTATTATGGTTATCAGTATTTAGGGTTCTTTTGTCCCATCTGAGGGGTTTGGTTGATTGCCAGTGCCAACGTTTCTTTGCATTTCCTGCAATAAGACTATCCCAGTGAGCAACCTGCACTCAAGTTGCTTGAAGTACCCAAGCCCTCTACACCACCACCCAGGAGCCACCTGTGATAAGCAGTGTCCAGCTGGAGCCAACTCCAAACCCCTGCCCCAGTCATGTACCCCTCTCTACACCCAAGCCCCTGACCTAGCCCTGATCCCCCCCAGACTCAAACTCCCTTACAGAGCCTGTACCCTGAACCCCCTCCTGCACCCCAACTCCCTGCCCCAGGCTCAGCTCAGAGTCCCCTCACACTCCAAATCCCTTAGCCCAAGACCAGAGCCTGCACCCCAACCCTCTGCCCCTGCCTAGTGAAAGGGAGGGAGGATGGGAGTTTGGAGTGAGAAGATGCACGAAGGAGGCAGGGCAAGGGTATTTGGGTTTGAGGTAGATCCTGGATTTCACGTAAATTCAGAAAGTGATCTTGTGCTTAAAAAGGCGGGAGACCTCTGCTCTAACACAATCCATAACTTCGGTTTGATTGCAAAAGGACGAGAAAAGAATAGGTGCACATGAGAGATGTACTTGAAAGTCGCATTCAGATGGGAACATAGTAAATTACATGTACTATTGATGGATTGTATGTGTTTTCATGCAGGTGCTAAGGACTTTTGATTCAATGATCAGCTCAAACTGCACCCAGGAACTGGAGAATGCTGGCATAGATGTCTGGAAGCATTCACAGGTACTGTATTATCCCCACACTGCATTGTTTAGCTCTGAGTCTCTCCTGTGAACCCATTCTTTGATCTTTATTTAATCTTTGCTTAAATGTCCTAATGTCCTCAGCACTGTTATAACATCTGATTGTGGCCATGATAAGCAATTCATATATGCATACTGTATTGCTAATTTATCACTTCTGTATCAGTGCTCTGTAAATGCCCTTTGTGGAGCTATGTTTCATTTTATGCTTGTAATTTTGTCTCTGGAATATTGTTAGGTAGGAGATGGGGCAAGAGGGATGTGCAATGATAAATCAGAGAATTGATATCCTCAGTGTGGATCTTATGACTGGTGCAGTTGTGCCTCATGCCTGTAGGTCTGGAACCTCCCTGCGCCCTGCATGTCCTCTTGCCTCTGCACCCATGGGTATATAGGGCAGCGTGGCCCCAATCTTTCAGTTCCCTCTTATATCAGTGAGTGGTAACTTAGCAGGATCCATCTGTCCCTAAAGCGGCTCCTCTAGAGGGAAAAGTCCTGCTCTTTAGCTTTTGCTGTTCTCTGTATCACACTTTCATGATTCTGCTCCATTGGTCCTGTGCTGTTCCAAAGCACCTCTTTCCTGCCTCAGGGCCAAACATTACAGCTCTAGATTCAAGCCCTAATTGTCCTGCGAAGGCTTTGTGTCCATCAGAGGTGCCCATACCAAGTGCTTGTTTCTTAATGTTGGCTTTTCTGGTCTGAGAGACAAGGTAGGTAGGGTTGTATCTTTTATTGAAGCAATTTCTGTTGATGGAAGAGACAAGCTGTTGAGCTTCATACAGCTCTATTTTAGGTCAGGTACAGGCAACTAATACTCGATTTACTGAGAGTGGTGTCAGATTCAGGGCATCTGGAGTTCACCCAGCTAGACACCCTCATCTGGAGTGCACACACAGCTTAGCAACTGGCGAGCCAGGATGTAGCCCCCTATGAGGGGCCACATGCTGTCCCCAAGACTAACATTGTTTCTGCATTGTATCTCATACTCCTCTCTGACTGCTTCCTCCTCAGAGGCTCTCTCCTGAGGTAGCCAGGAGCATTGATTCAAGTACAGTGCCTGGCACCATGCCTCCTCTTGAAGGCTGAAAGGTGGAAGAAAAAGTAGATGGCTCCCCCATAACTCTGCTTTTTGACCTAGCAGGTAACCACTACATCACTATCAGCAGGAGGGTTGGTATCTCTGTAGGATCTGTCTGTCTATCTTCTTGGATTGTCTTGGAGCCAAAATTGGGATTCATATCCAGCATCCCAAGACTCTAGAGGCGCAGGTCTTGAGGCCATCTCGTCCTCCAATGGGGTGGGGGAGAGCCACCCTAGAGTCTCCCAATCCAACACGCATATCCCCTCTGCAGATACCCAGGTGGTTCTGTGGGCCGCTATAGAATTGTATCCTCTTCGGCCATTTGGCCTCCCAATTTCAGCTTCACAAACCAGACGAGGTTGCCTTGGAGAAGAACCAGGTAGTGAGATGGAGAGGAAGGGCTAAATAAGCCACCATAAGACGATCCTCCTGGACCTGTCTTTGTCATCCACTTCCCACTCCCCCTTACCAGACTAAATGGTGATTCAAAGCCCTCCTCTACCCTGTGATTTCCTGTGCAGAGTAAGAGACTGTCATGCTGGTGGCGATTCAGGAGAAGTTCCACAAGCTTTCAAATCCCCCACAACCAGGATGGTTGACCATGCCAGTCGACAAGGGTTCCCTGGAATCGGTCACCAACCAGTTTGTAGCAGAATGGGTGGATGCTGCTGAGCCCCTCAGAAGGGGTTGTGTGTGTCTTCACCTCACTTCCATCTCTGCTTACCATGTTCCGGAAGACTGTGAGACTGCCGGCTCCTTGACAAATTCCCGAATGATTGCAGTTGCCTGCTCAGTGGCTGCAAACATGGTTATGCAGAGACTGTCTTGGCTCCAGACTCCTGACCACTGAAAGGAAAGCCAAGCCGCCATAGACCTGCTCTTCCGTGGTCCTGAGCTTTTTGATTGCAGGTTGCCTGGGGTGGAGATGGTCTTTTTGTTCTGCTCATACAATGCCTACCAAAGTGGGATTCTGGTCCACGAGTGGGGCTCTATGCACTGTGGTTCATCATAGATGCCAAGACAAGAAGGGACCAGTCTGATTAACTAGTCTGACCTGTATGTCACAGATCATAGAACTTCCACAGAATCCTAAAGCAAGTTTTTTGGGGGTGAAAAAAAAATCTAATATTGATTTTAAAAATTGCCACTGATGGAGAATCTGCCACAACCCTTGGTAAGTTCTAGTGGCTAAATACTCTCAATATGAAACATTTATGCCGTATTTCCAGTCTGATTTATGTTTTTCCAGCTTCAACTTCCAGTCGTTGAATCGTGTTTATACTTTCGTCTGTTAGACTGAAGAACACATTAATAAAAACCTTTGTTCCTTTTGTAGGTATTTATAGACTGTAACCATGTCATCCCTAACTTTCTGTTCATTAAGCTAAACAGAGTGAGCAGGAGCTCAGTCTCTAAAAGGCATGTTTTCTAACCCTCTAAACATTGTTTCTAAACCCTAACCCTGTCCAATTTATCATTCTTAAATTATGGATGCCAGACCTGGAAAATAGTGTTTCAGCAGCAATTGCAGCAATGCTAATTAGAGGTAAAGCAACCTCTCTGCTCTTTTTTGAGAGTCTCCTATTTATGCATCCGAGGATCACATTAGAACTTTTTGCTTCACTGTCACATGTGCAGCTCATGTTTAGCCAATTTATCTATGACAACCCCCAAATCTTTGTTTCAGTCACTGATTCCCCTTTGTGTAAGTGTAGCCTACAAACACCTTGTACTCTACTCAAATACTGATGCCATGTGTGACTTGCCATGTTACCTACAAGTCTCTCTCCATTCTGTTGCAAAAGCAGAAACAGATTCTTAATTATTGGCATGCATTTGGTGTGTGTTCCAGTTAAAGAACAGGGTTTGATCTTTCATATTTATTTTATGCTGGTTTTGATCATACTGCCACGCCACAAAAGTTTCACTTTTAACCTTTTTATCTTACTCTATATTTGATTTACCAATAGGTCAAATCGGTTACAAAATCTCCTCAGGGATTGTTGGAAGTAACAGTGATATCCTCTGTACGCGGTCACAAACCCAAAGTTAGCACAATCTCGGACGTTGACTGTCTGCTGTGGGCCATTGGGCGAGAACCAAACACTGAGGGGCTTAATCTAGACAAACTGGTGAGCTCTAAAGACTTTATATCCCAATAATTGTGAAAATGCACACTGCATTATTGCCTTGCATATGTGGCCTCAGTTCTCCCATGACCTCTGGAGGAACAGACTCTTGTGTGTGCAGGGAATGTATGGCAGCACCACGGCCAAGATTCTAATATCTCGTATAGTACGCTACACTTGAAAAGTCCTGGGCTTTCAAGAGGGTAGTATGAAAACAAGCCTACAAATGTTTTAAGTATGATGGAGTTTTAATTGCATCCTCCAGCAATGACTGGAAGTCTGATTGGTAATTTGGGGCAGGTGTAACTCAGTGCCTTTGATCACCAAGTTATTCTGTGAATGGTGATGGTGCATTATAGAATGTAAAACTTTTGTCCAAACACTATTGTCCTGGTGGAACTGAAAATGATGCAACTGCTGCAAAGGATGGGAAACAAAAACATTTTTAGCAGCACAGTTACACTGGTTGGGCCTTTTTGGAACTAGGAGAAAAGTGAAGGTAAATATGGGAAACTTTTTCCCATGTTAATTTTTAAACTTCATATTGCACGTTTAAGGTTCCTCTTTAACAGGAATGCAATTCTCATTCAGAACAGGCTATGCAACTGTGAAATGCTGTTTGAAACTGTCATTTTTTTTCATAATACCTACTGTGTATATTAACATGGCTGCTGTTTCCAATATCAGGGTCTTAAATTAGATGCCAAAGGTCACATTGTAGTCGATGAGTTCCAGAACACCGGCAGGAAAGGGATCTATGCTGTTGGAGACGTATGTGGAAAAGCACTCTTGACTCCAGGTAACAGGTCTATATTGTATTTGGCTGTACAGTGACCTAGCGGATCCCATACCTGTGATAATGTACTCACCTACCTACATTTAGCTGCTAGGGGCAACATTTTCAAAAAGAGGAGCCAACAGTTAGTGAGATTTTCAAAAGTGCCTAAGTGACTTAAGAAGCACAAGCCCCCAGAGAGCCCAGTGGTGGCAGAGAGAAACAAGCAAATTAATTTGTGACACCTCCGTGCCTATTTTTTAAAAAAAAAATGAATTTCCTTCCCCTGACTTAGTGTGGGGGTGGCTGAAGAAAAGTCCATTGTTCTTGCCCTTGCTGCTCAGGTCCTTCCAACATTTTTCAGAGGGTAGGTGCAATAATTCCTCTTCACTGTGGTATTTTTGGCAGCCATCTGACATGCCACCAGGCAGAGGAGGTCAAGGAATGTCAGCTCATACATACAGGATATTGACTGTTTTAGGAGCAGCTAAGACACCAAAGGCTATTGTTCTATATCATCTGTGTAATCTATTTTGGCACTGTGTGTGTTCCGTGGCCTTGCTTTGAATGTGGCATGGCTCAACAGGCTGCCTCTCCATTGGGTGTGCTTATTATCTAGCCGTCATACTCATTCATGTCATGTTTGTGCATTAATATAACTCTCAGACATTTGCCATATTTTTTTGCTTGACTGATTTGCCCTTTGCCCCTGCACGAGTTACTTCGGCAGAGTCCCTCATGCTGCCTCTCTCCACTCAGGACAATAGCTGGTGCAGGTTTTGTCACCTCTTCACTCTGCCTGTCCAACTGTGGATACTTCCTCTTCTAGGAGCTATCACTTGCCCATAGCTAGCTGCAGATGTGTGCAAAGTTGTATGGGGGGGTGCCCAGTGTTTGTGAAAGACCTCTGGTCACCACTGCATGGAGTAGGATGTGGGAAGAGGAGTGCAGCATGTTTGGAAAGAAAACGGGTCAGAGTTGTACAGAATGGGGCCACTCAAATACAGTTTTTCATGATTCAAGGTGGTGTCCTTATTCTGGTGCAGATAGTATCAGCCTACTGGAAAACTCCATTTGTTGTCTCATAAAAAACAGAAAATGTAGGTGCTAGAAATAGATGGCTGCGGAGCAAATGGGAAAGGAATTATTCTCTTATTGAAAGTCGTGATGAAGCCACACCCTGGCCTGCCTTGTTCAAAGCTATGTTTGTGCCAAGTGGGTATAATGCTAGCTGCTACTGCATCACACATCACAAGAGGAACACGATCCATATGCTTATTCCCAACCGTGATTTTCTACGGCAAAGTTCCAAAGCAGAAAAACAACTCTTTTCACAGAGGCACACAGGTTCAAATTTCAAGCCTCCTACCTCTGGATGAGATTAATTCTGAATTTATAGAGTCTAAAGGGGAAATTTTCAAAAGCACCTGACGCTTTGTTTACATTAGGAGTGTTTTCCTGGTATAGCTGTAGTGGCAAAATCCTCCTCTTGTGGGACCAGTTATTCCAGTATAGTTGTGTTCCCAGCCACAAACAGTTATGCTGGTAAAACTGCATCTACTCTGGGCCTCAGAGCAGCACTGTTATGTTGGTAACACGTCATCCACAGCCCCCACCATGCTCATCCTGCGATTCTGCATAGCTCTGCTAGTGTAACTTAACAGTACACTAGGACCAAGTCATATTTTCAAAAGTGAGGTAGCTGCTTGGGGCTATTATCTCACTGAAAGTCATAAGTCATTAAATGGCTTTCAGTGAGGCTTAGACACCTACGTGATTTGGGTGGTTTTGGAAATGTTGCCCATTAGTTTCAACCTTCTGGAATTTTCATCCTCTACGATCCATAAACATGAGGTTGGATCCTGCGCTGAAGCTGCCAGTATAGGCCACTAACTAGTACAGGATACCTGAGTAGCATTAGCCAGCGTTAGGAATTCATGCTTATACCATCTGTTTTCCATACTTACAGTTGCAATAGCAGCTGGACGGAAGCTGGCACACAGACTCTTTGAAGGCAAGCAGGATTCCAAACTAGACTATAGCAACATTCCTACCGTGGTCTTCAGCCACCCACCCATCGGAACGGTGGGACTCACGGAAGGTAAGTTCCAATTGAAAATACTGTTTTGGTGTCTCCTTAGCCTTTTGTGTTTTAGTATTGAGAGCTATAACAACTGACTGAATTGGGCTGTAGGCTTAGGTGCCAGTAAAAAGATATGGTACCTTTCATCTGTAAGTGCCATGTTCATACCTCTGAGGAAGGCTCTGTGGCCCATCTGGAACAAATAGATGAGTGCTGTTCACCTAGTGGGCATGTGTCATTATTTAATTCCCTGTTGCAGTCTGGTGCTAGCAGTTTCAACAAAGAAGGTAACGATAGGATGAATGTGAGACTATATATTCAGCCTTGCAGGCACATTGTGATGCAGAAGTGCTCGTGTGGCCTTAGGTCTAACTATGGGCCTGGCCCAACATCCCTTGAGTCCTCCCATCACCTTCACAGGACCAATTTGGTGCTGCTTTTTGCTAACAAGGAGAGTACAGTAGATGTACACATTTAATTAACCAATGTTGCTTAACTTTTTCCTAGACTGTTTACTTGCAATTTATGTTAAACTGTATTTGGATAGAAATTCAATTCAAATGTACAAAAATAGTATTTTAATTTTATTATACAAAACTCCCTTAAATGTGCTGGATACAAATGAGAGTTTGTCCAAACATATTTTGCATTTAAAATTCAGCTGATTTATTAAAGTACTTTCTGTAGTTAGTTAATTGAACTGATTGATTCTGGTCACTGTCTCTTTCATCATTTTTGAACAAGTATATTTCCTCCTCTCACATTTAGTTTTTATTCGTAAAATAGAAGAGGAAAACAAGCTTTTATTTTTGTCAACTTCCAGTTAGTTTCTTAACTTGGACTGAACTAGTCATTGACTGAACTACTTGAGTAAACCGAAATAAAAAAAACTCTTCTGCAGGTGCATGGGGAATTAGTTGCTTCTGTCAAAAGATGGTTTAGCATTTCAACACACTTTGGTGCCAGATACTTAGCCAGTGTTTCCATCAGTGCAGTAGTTTGACTTTCTTTAAAACATGACAGCAAACATGTACTGCTTAGTATTATTTTTGTACTCGTATCTGAATAGATTGTAATATATTTAGCACTTAATATGTGGATATTATAATTTCAATTTTAATTTCAGTAGTTTTATTTAAATGTTTATATTTTAATAAAAAAATTTTAAAAAATTATTTAAACCCAACTTTTTACATTTTTTTAAAAAACAAATTAAAACATTGTGTTTATACTTTCGTCTGTTAGACTGAAGAACACATTAATAAAAACCTTTGTTCCTTTTGTAGGTATTTATAGACTGTAACCATGTCATCCCTAACTTTCTGTTCATTAAGCTAAACAGAGTGAGCAGGAGCTCAGTCTCTAAAAGGCATGTTTTCTAACCCTCTAAACATTGTTTCTAAACCCTAACCCTGTCCAATTTATCATTCTTAAATTATGGATGCCAGACCTGGAAAATAGTGTTTCAGCAGCAATTGCAGCAATGCTAATTAGAGGTAAAGCAACCTCTCTGCTCTTTTTTGAGAGTCTCCTATTTATGCATCCGAGGATCACATTAGAACTTTTTGCTTCACTGTCACATGTGCAGCTCATGTTTAGCCAATTTATCTATGACAACCCCCAAATCTTTGTTTCAGTCACTGATTCCCCTTTGTGTAAGTGTAGCCTACAAACACCTTGTACTCTACTCAAATACTGATGCCATGTGTGACTTGCCATGTTACCTACAAGTCTCTCTCCATTCTGTTGCAAAAGCAGAAACAGATTCTTAATTATTGGCATGGCATTTGGTGTGTGTTCCAGTTAAAGAACAGGGTTTGATCTTTCATATTTATTTTATGCTGGTTTTGATCATACTGACACGCCACAAAAGTTCCACTTTTAACCTTTTTATCTTACTCTATATTTGATTTACCAATAGGTCAAATCGGTTACAAAATCTCCTCAGGGATTGTTGGAAGTAACAGTGATATCCTCTGTACGCGGTCACAAACCCAAAGTTAGCACAATCTCGGACGTTGACTGTCTGCTGTGGGCCATTGGGCGAGAACCAAACACTGAGGGGCTTAATCTAGACAAACTGGTGAGCTCTAAAGACTTTATATCCCAATAATTGTGAAAATGCACGTTGCATTATTGCCTTGCATATGTGGCCCCAGTTCTCCCATGACCTCTGGAGGAACAGACTCTTGTGTGTGCAGGGAATGTATGGCAGCACCACGGCCAAGATTCTAATATCTCGTATAGTACGCTACACTTGAAAAGTCCTGGGCTTTCAAGAGGGTAGTATGAAAACAAGCCTACAAATGTTTTAAGTATGATGGAGTTTTAATTGCATCCTCCAGCAATGACTGGAAGTCTGATTGGTAATTTGGGGCAGGTGTAACTCAGTGCCTTTGATCACCAAATTATTCTGTGAATGGTGATGGTGCGTTATAGAATGTAAAACTTTTGTCCAAACACTGTTGTCCTGGTGGAACTGAAAGTGATGCAACTGCTGCAAAGGATGGGAAACAAAAACATTTTTAGCAGCACAGTTACACTGGTTGGGCCTTTTTGGAACTAGGAGAAAAGTGAAGGTAAATATGGGAAACTTTTTCCCATGTTAATTTTTAAACTTCATATTGCACGTTTAAGGTTCCTCTTTAACAGGAATGCAATTCTCATTCAGAACAGGCTATGCAACTGTGAAATGCTGTTTGAAACTGTCATTTTTTTCATAATACCTACTGTGTATATTAACATGGCTGCTGTTTCCAATATCAGGGCCTTAAATTAGATGCCAAAGGTCACATTGTAGTCGATGAGTTCCAGAACACCGGCAGGAAAGGGATCTATGCTGTTGGAGACGTATGTGGAAAAGCACTCTTGACTCCAGGTAACAGGTCTATATTGTATTTGGCTGTACAGTGACCTAGCGGATCCCATACCTGTGATAATGTACTCACCTACCTACATTTAGCTGCTAGGGGCAACATTTTCAAAAAGAGGAGCCAACAGTTAGTGAGATTTTCAAAAGTGCCTAAGTGACTTAAGAAGCACAAGCCCCCAGAGAGCCCAGTGGTGGCAGAGAGAAACAAGCAAATTAATTTGTGACACCTCCGTGCCTATTTTTTAAAAAAAAAATGAATTTCCTTCCCCTGACTTAGTGTGGGGGTGGCTGAAGAAAAGTCCATTGTTCTTGCCCTTGCTGCTCAGGTCCTTCCAACATTTTTCAGCGGGTAGGTGCAATAATTCCTCTTCACTGTGGTATTTTTGGCAGCCATCTGACATGCCACCAGGCAGAGGAGGTCAAGGAATGTCAGCTCATACATACAGGATATTGACTGTTTTAGGACCAGCTAAGACACCAAAGGCTATTGTTCTATATCATCTGTGTAATCTATTTTGGCACTGTGTGTGTTCCGTGGCCTTGCTTTGAATGTGGCATGGCTCAACAGGCTGCCTCTCCATTGGGTGTGCTTATTATCTAGCCGTCATACTCATTCATGTCATGTTTGTGCATTAATATAACTCTCAGACATTTGCCATATTTTTTTGCTTGACTGATTTGCCCTTTGCCCCTGCACGAGTTACTTCGGCAGAGTCCCTCATGCTGCCTCTCTCCACTCAGGACAATAGCTGGTGCAGGATTTGTCACCTCTTCACTCTACCTGTCCAACTGTGGATACTTCCTCTTCTAGGAGCTATCACTTGCCCATAGCTAGCTGCAGGTGTGTGCAAAGTAGTATGTGGGGGGAGGGAGTGCCCAGTGTTGGTGAAAGACCTCTGGTCACCACTGCATGGAGTAGGATGTGGGAAGAGGAGTGCAGCATGTTTGGAAAGAAAACGGGTCAAAGTTGTACAGAATGGGGCCACTCAAATACAGTTTTTCATGATTCAAGGTGGTGTCCTTATTCTGGTGCAGATAGTATCAGCCTACTGGAAAACTCCATTTGTTGTCTCATAAAAAACAGAAAATGTAGGTGCTAGAAATAGATGGCTGCGGAGCAAATGGGAAAGGAATTATTCTCTTATTGAAAGTCGTGATGAAGCCACACCCTGGCCTGCCTTGTTCAAAGCTCTGTTTGTGCCAAGTGGGTATAATGCTAGCTGCTACTGCATCACACATCACAAGAGGAACACGATCCATATGCTTATTCCCAACCGTGATTTTCTACGGCAAAGTTCCAAAGCAGAAAAACAACTCTTTTCACAGAGGCACACAGGTTCAAATTTCAAGCCTCCTACCTCTGGATGAGATTAATTCTGAATTTATAGAGTCTAAAGGGGAAATTTTCAAAAGCACCTGACGCTTTGTTTACATTAGGAGTGTTTTCCTGGTATAGCTGTAGTGGCAAAATCCTCCTCTTGTGGGACCAGTTATTCCAGTATAGTTGTGTTCCCAGCCACAAACAGTTATGCTGGTAAAACTGCATCTACTCTGGGCCTCAGAGCAGCACTGTTATGTTGGTAACACGTCATCCACAGCCCCCACCATGCTCATCCTGCGATTCTGCATAGCTCTGCTAGTGTAACTTAACAGTACACTAGGACCAAGTCATATTTTCAAAAGTGAGGTAGCTGCTTGGGGCTATTATCTCACTGAAAGTCATAAGTCATTAAATGGCTTTCAGTGAGGCTTAGACACCTACGTGATTTGGGTGGTTTTGGAAATGTTGCCCATTAGTTTCAACCTTCTGGAATTTTCATCCTCTACGATCCATAAACATGAGGTTGGATCCTGCGCTGAAGCTGCCAGTATAGGCCACTAACTAGTACAGGATACCTGAGTAGCATTAGCCAGCATTAGGAATTCATGCTTATACCATCTGTTTTCCATACTTACAGTTGCAATAGCAGCTGGACGGAAGCTGGCACACAGACTCTTTGAAGGCAAGCAGGATTCCAAACTAGACTATAGCAACATTCCTACCGTGGTCTTCAGCCACCCACCCATCGGAACGGTGGGACTCACGGAAGGTAAGTTCCAATTGAAAATACTGTTTTGGTGTCTCCTTAGCCTTTTGTGTTTTAGT